AAAGGGGGGAAAAAAAGAAGAACGAACTGGGGTGGAGGGTAGAGAAAATAGTGCAACAATGAAAGAATGGAAACCCCAAATCTCTGTAAATGTTCATTAAAATTAATAAAATTTAATTTTTTTAAAAAAAGTCTTCATGTGCTAGGGAAGTCCCTGCATGGTGCAGTTTGTATTTAGCTACTAACCCAAAGGTTGGTAGTTTGAATCTGCTCTGCCATCAAGGAATTCGGCTTTCACTTCTGGTGTCACAGAGAGACAGGACAGCAGGCCCCAAAGAGAGCTGAAGATGCTGAGAAATACCAGGACAGTTCAGCAGATCTCCACAGGAGCATGCTTTGCCCTCAGTCAGCTAGAGAAATAGGAAGCAGTGCAAGGGGTTTCCAGGGAGAGGCATCTGTGCAAGAAAAGAGATTGACAAAAAATCTAGGATGTCAGAAAGGGGAGGAGGAGGAGGAGGAGGAGGAGGATAGGTTCTGGTTCCTGCTTTGCACTGAGTCCCATCACAGAGGAAGAGCTGCCGGTTGAACTAACAGCTTCATTTTTGGCGTCTCTTCCCGCCCTCTCCCTGGTAAGTAGGGCTTTGAGGGCACTCACTCAGGTTCCTTAATGAAAATGAATGAGGTTCAGGGAGCTCATGTGGCCTAGTGGCAAGAAGCTGCACTGCAATCCCAGAGGTACACAGTTGGAATCCACCAGGTGCTCTGCTGGACAAGGAGGGGCAATCTCCTCCTTTACCAGTCAGATCCAATTTGATGGTACACACACAAAAATAATAAAATTTTTAAAAAAATTAATGAGGTTCACTTCTCAGGCAGGTGGGCTCCAAGACCACAATCAGGAGGAACGTGGCATTGAGAACTTGGACGTTTGGGCAGCAGGAGCCCTCTCACCCTGCTGAAGCTCCATGGGCCGACCTGGTGAACAGCTGTCTCCACAGCAGCAGTCCTTCTTGACTCTGGTGTTCTCCCAGCACCTAGCTGCCCTTTTTTAAGGCCGGGTATTGAGGGCAGTTGCAGAACTTCCTCTGGGCTCTGAACAATCCCTCACCCCAGTTAGTGTCTTTGCCTTCTGTTTTTTGTTCAACTCAAATCAGAGGCTTGCTCTTGTCAAGGGACAAGTGTGGAGGGTCCAAGCAGGAGTGTGAGGCTGGATTTTGATGGTGGGATCCAGCTATCAGGGCCCTATCTCCTAGATTAGTAAACAATTTCGTTTAATGAGTTTGGCTAGCTCACTGGATCCACCCACACAGTTCCGCTCACCTTCCAGAATGCTTCCAACACAGCACTAGCAATTGTACAGGAGCAGAAAAGAAGTGAGAGATAAAAAGGGCTAAAAGTAATAAAGGGCAAGGCCCTAGAGATTTCTGCCCTTTCAGAAAAAGTCTGCGTAAACTTTTCCAGAGAAATTTTAAGTCCAAAATGAAAAAGACTGCTATTTCTTTTCTTGCCGAAGAACCAAACAAAGAAAAAGGCCACAAATACAAGCACATATGTATGAGGTGGAAGGACCCAGTTTTTGTGGATTTGATAGGCTTTTTAAGCTGTTCATAGTGATGCCATTTGCATACACAGTCTCAGAGGTAGTCTCCTCAGGTCACCAAGAAGTGGCTTCCAATGCTTGGTGCAGTAACAGGATGATTCCACAGACACAGCTCCACCCTCTAGTCGCTTACACTCAGATGTAGACACACAGTCTCACCAGGAAGGAGACAAACACCCTTTACCCACCTGTGCGCACACACGCACACAACCACTCACATACACGGTGCCCGGCAGACACCCGTCCTCACCGCCTGGACCCCTCTCCAGGCCTCCACTGAGACTCCCGTCCTCCTCCGCCCTCCTGGCACACCCTGAGCTGAAGCCAGATGTTCCGTGGGCAGACCCCTCTGTGGGCTGACAGGCAGTGATTACTGTTGCCAGCCCCACATTAGGAGAGAATTGAATGGAAGAGAGCCCCCACCTTCCTTGACTCCCCACAATAGTGCCTTTGTGAGGTTGCTTCGCTGTCTTTCTTTTTCCTTTCCATACCAGCCTACGTCAGGAGCAGTGCTGCCTAAGAAGAAGACAAAAGGAGGATCACAGGGCCTCGTCTGATCCACCCAACCCTGGAGCAGGCGGGAGGGCCACACTTGTGGGGAGAAGACTGTGTTCCTATTTCCCTCCTCCTCCAATTAGGATATACAACCAAGAGTACTGCAGGGCTGTCTGAGGTAAACGTCACCAAACCAAGCCTGCTGCTTTGGAGCACTTTGGATCCATGGCAACCCTCCGTTTAGTTTCAAGGCTGTATGTAAATCTTTCCTGGTGACTTGTCTGTCTTTCTCCAGAAGAGCAGTTAGTGGATTCAAACCGCTGTAGTTAGCAGCAAAATATGCAATGCACTATGTCAGCAGCCATCCTCCTGTTGCTGAGCCGAGGAAGGGATGAGGCTGGGTTCCACGGGGGATGAGTACAGAGACCAGCAGATTCCTGGAGACTGGAGTGCAAGCCTGTATCATCACTCTCATCTCTTCTCTTCTCCAGACTGCCTCCTGCAATCTGGGACAAGAGGTAGAGGCCAGTGTACTAGACTAAAAATGTTTTCAGTTTCTAGAAGCCCAGGAACAGACTTCAGCCAAATTCTGAGCCTGGGGGTAGAGGATGAGGGGATGATAAGGGTGGAGGAAGGGAAAGCTGGGAAACTTGTAAGAGCAACTTCTGGGAGGTGGTCACTTTCTTCCTCCCAACCCAAACCAAACCGCAGACGCTGTGGCAGCAGGAAAATCTAGCGGCTCAGACCAAGAACAATTGTGCAACCAGGTCTGTTGCTGGGGATATAGCCTGGTTCAGAGGTGAAGCTCAAAGTTCCTATTAAGAACAGACATGCAGGATTCTCAGATTCCACACAGGACTACAAGCAATTAAAGTCCATTTTCTGGTTCAAAAACTCCTGAGAATTAGAAGCTCTGCCCCCAGGCCCCAGTCTCTCATGGCCAGTGGTTCTGGGAAGGCAGCCCTGGATGGCAGTGGGGTTGGAGGAAGGCCCCTGCTGGCCTCCTAAAGTGGCCTCACAGGACAATCTGTAACTAGAGAAGTCCCTCCCCCTCTCAGCAAAGGGAGCCCAGCCAAGTCTTCAGCGTGGCTCAAGAAGTGGGAATGGGATGGGAGGAGGGAAATGGAGGGACATAGGGAGAAATTTGATCTGAGCACTACCCCAAACAAACACAGGAAAGGAGCAGTGGATTTTCTTTTTAATACAAAATGTTGAAATACAAAACAATATTGAAATAGTCTCATTCTTCAAGGCTCTGAAGAAATAGGGCAGAGTTAAGTCCCTCTTTCCCAAGTCACTTTCTTCGCACCCTGGGGCTGCCCCGTAAGAGGCTTGAGCTGTCTGCTTCTGGGTTGTCTCTGCGAAACTTGTTGACACAAGGCAGGAAGGCTGGAGGTGAACACATGGGATTTTTACTCTTTTAGCCCTAAGAAGATTACTCAATAACTAGAGTTCTGTATGGAACCAAAGGGCAATAAAAACTTGGCTTCTGTTGGCCAAAAGTACAAAATTTGAACCATTACTTGCCCACAGTTAAAGAATGTGCAGTAGATTTTTATGGGTTTCGATGGCACTCAACAATAAAGAACTTCTAAGAGTGTGAGATACCAAAAACCCAAGCTAGCACCTCAAACTTCCTCCTCTTTCTTCCTCATCTCCAGCTTGTAGACAATCTGGTAGCCATCGTCCCAGGCATAGAGCTGGCGCTCTCGGGGGTTATAACGGAGGCTGGCGTGAGCTCCATATCTGCGGGGGAAATAAGGGAGGGCCGCCCGGTCGGGGGTAAGTGTACCGCTGGCATCGAAGGAGCACTGGATGCGGGCCCGGCTGGCAGGGCGAGTGTTATAGACAACATATAGGGTCCCACAGATGACAAAGGCCGCTTCAGCATTCTCTCTCGGGCACGGGGTGTCCCACTGCTGCTCCGTGTCCAGTGTCTGTGGGTCTAACTTGGCCAGACACAGATGTCTGTCATCCTCCTGAGTTGCGTAGACCGCCCAAAGGCCCTCCTCATCAGCTGCCAGGTCAATGTAGGTGTCTGCTGTCAGACCATAGGGAGGAATCAGTCCTTCTGCAGGGAACACTGAACTGTCCACCACTGTTCGGTTGGCCAGGTGGAATTTGATGAGCTGCAGAGTGTTCTCCAACTGGCTGCTCCCTCCAAGTCCTCCAGGGGGCCTCCGGGCATAATAGAGAAAGCCACCATAGACCAGCTGCCCTGTGCCCACCCAGGGGAAGGGCACTCGGACCCGGGAAGCCTTGCGGGCAGCCATGGAAAGGGAGAAATCCCGCAGCCTCGGGAAGACAAACGCTGTGTCATTCTGAGTCCCGTCTAGCACATAGATCTTCTCTGTTGGTCCTAATGGATCTTTGGTCCATAAGCCAGCTGAGCTGCCAAAACGCTTCAGGATCTTCATAGATCTCACTTGTGAGATTGTGTAGCTACAGTCTGGTGGGGAGAAGAGCACAAGACAGGTGAGAAGGGGGCTACAGCAAGAACCCCACAGGTGGGCTAGTCACTGAAAGGGAGGCATTGGCCCCATGGCAGCCTCTGTTTTTCTAGATGACCAGGAAAAAGCGCCCCACAGAGGCCTGAGTCCCCGAAGCTCTCCTTTAATGGACCTGCCATTATAGGTCTCCCTAAAACAGATTCCAAAAAACAGAACCACAGGAGGAAGAACCAAGGAAGAATGCAAGTTCTAGAAATGTTAGGAGCCTACCTTCAGGTCACTTACCTGTCAGCATATCATACTTCTCATTTCTTCTGCCCTTGCCTTTGGTGCCAGGGCCTCCAGTCATCTTCTCATCAATCTCCACACAGGGCAGGGCTGGGTTCTGGGTCTCCAGATAGTCCACCTCCCGCTCCAGGCGATCCACTCTTCCAGAAATGGAGTCGGCCTCTGTTCTGAGCGCCTCCCGCTCTTTCTCGGCCACCTCCAGCAGTGGCAGCATCTTGTTCTTGAAGTCCCGCAGCTCAGCTGCATGGCGACTACTCTGGTCCTGGCACTGGGCCAGCCGTTCCTAAGGGGATGGGGGTTGGGGGGCAGAGGGTTATAGTTCTCAGGCCTGGAGAGGCTCAACCAGGAGTCAAGAAGAGTGGAGAAAGGAGCACAAACTGTCAGCTTTCAACAACTCCTTCAAGCCCCACAGAAAGGGAAATCAGTCAGTGACACTAAAGGTGCAAAAGGCCCCTCAGACTCACCTAGGCCCTCACCCCCAGCCTGTCCTCCAGATCTCCACATCCTCCAGCCTGGGTTTCTAAGAGCAGTGCCACCCAATCATGTGAGCCTCTAGGGTGGTCCTAGCACAAAAGGGTGGGAGGGGTCTCTGCACTAGCACACAATTCTCCTCTCAGGAATCAAGACATTACAAATTTCAAATTTCAAAAAGGCAGGAAGATGCTTCCCCACAAAACTCTCATACTCCCAGGTATAAACCGTGAAGGTACTTTCACTTTGCAATTGTCTTAGGTGGGGAAAGGTGAGGCTTTGTACTTTTGAGGATCTTAGCAAGGGACAGAATCCTCTCGAGAGCCCTAACTCCTCATCACCCTGATAAAGTGGGCAAGCCAAGAGGAGATGGGGATTTTTCCAGGCTGGACTGTAGAGTCCCTCACCTCTAAGGCAGCTAGTCGGCGTTCCATGTACTCCACAAGGTGGTGCTGCTGTCCATGAAGAGGTGCCAACCATGACACAAGAAGCAGGACGAGGAACGGAGCGCTGGGCCCCATGGCAGCAGGGAGAGTGGGGCCAGAATGGTGCGCCTTCTGTCTCTTCGGCTCAAGCCCGAGGGTTCGCTTTGGAGGCGGGTTGGGGGCGGTGCCTGCTCTTTCTGGATCTCTGGGGCTCTCTCACTACTCTGGAATGCTTTCCTAGGCTTTTTACAGCCCTACTACTCCCTCCTTTCCGCCTGGAATTGATCAAATACAGATGGCCCCATTGCAGAGGAGCCAGAAGGTTTAACCACCTCCCGCCTAAAATGTAGGTTCCCTGAGAGAGAGGGAAAGAAAGACCCCAGGGCAGAACCTCTCTCTGGGCAGTCACCCAGGGAAAGGGGGTGGCAGTAGGGGGGCAAGGTAAATAGGCCCCAGAGAAAGTTTAGCAAACTGTTATTTTAGAAGTGCTTTCTGAGGTGACTTAAGAAATTGACCTCCTTCATTAATCCTTTTTCCGGCAATAATGGAGTGGACTGTGGTGCTATGTTCTGTGGAAGTTGGAAGCAGGGGAGATAATGTTTAAGGACAGGAAGCTCAGGAAAAACCCAGAGTGGGCAAGATGGTTCTGGCTTCTCTAGCTCATTGGCGCCATCTTGTGCTAAGCACTTAATATCACTGCTTGATTAATAAGGAAACCAAGGTTTAGCTTTCATCCCAAGTGGATAATTTCTCACCAAGCCAGTCAGGTAAATGTTCTGCATCCTGACTACACAAGTATCTCCAGCAGATTATCTGGTTACTTTATGGGGTTATCTCATCTCTTAATGTGCCTGAGAAAAACAGCCGAGAGGTCATGAAATGATTGTCTACATTAGCTTTGCCTGAAAGCTACGAGATGCATTTGCTACCAAAACTGATGTTCATATTCAAATCAAATTCAGATCCAGTTATTTAGATGAAATATGTAAAAAAAAAAACAAAACAAAAAATATCCCCACATGTTGCAGTCTTCTGACCTCTCTACTACAGAGCACATAATCAGACAACTGAATAATTTCTCTCAGTTGTGGTCTAAAATGATGTTGCTTGTTTATACATCCCAACTAAGACATGGGAGTCCAAGAATTAATGGCCCAGAAGGTTGGCAGTTCAAACCTACCAGTTGCTCTAGATGAAAAGCTGGATGGATGGTCTCCTCCCATAAAGATTTAGTCCTAGAAAGCTGATGAAGGGTTCTCATAAATTAGAACTCACCCAATGGCAATGACTTTGGGCTTTGGTAAGACAGAATTATCCGAAACTGGTGTTTTAAATAAAATAAATATGATGTTTTTACTGACAAATCTTTTTAAAAATTTTATTCACTTCAGAATCAAGAACAATTTGGTCAGTTTCTTCTTGAAAAAGGGCCATGCTTTCCACAGTGTTGCTTGAAAGGAGGGAGAAATGGCATCTTCTTGTGGTCCTTTTTACTTTCATTTTGCAACTTTATTTTTTAATGATTTTAATGAGCATTTAGAGATTTTGGATTTCCATTCATTCATTGCTGCACTTCTCTCCCCGCCCATCACTCCCACCCCCATTTTGTAACTTTAAACACTTAGTGAAACATGTTGTTGATGTTGTTGTTGTTGTTGTTATGTGCCGTCGAGTCGTTTCCGACTCATAGCGACCCTATGCACAACAGCCCTAGACCCTTCTCTATCCTGCGCTAACCGCACCCCCTCTGAAACACCCATCCCTATTACCCAGTCACCGAATCAATCCATCTCATAGAGGGTCTTCCCCTCCTG